TCTCCTACTCCTACTTCTATTATGAAGAGCCTTTTTCACTAATGAAAACTTTGAAAAAGTCAAAGTAATACACAACTCTATCTAATCAGTGCACCACATCAAATTCGTCTAAATTTGAAATGGAATTTTATGGAATACACTAATGCGTCCGACCCATTTCTAAACCTCAAAACGACTGAATGCTATACCTAGAGAATACGATAAATTCTATCAATTTTAAACTCGCTGGAACGGAAGGGGAATTAGGATGTTGAACGTTGTGTTTGCTTCTCTTGTTCTTTCTTTTAATTCCTTTGCTCGCTCTTGCTCCTTTAACAGCTTCAGAATCCAAGTAAAACTCATCATTTCAGAACTACTTTAACGCTTGATGTGAAACAAGTTTCGAAAAAATTTCCTCAACAGTACTGACTATTTGCAAGTCTTGAATTATTGCTATACTACGTAAAACTATTTTTCTACTGCACTATGCGAAGAAAGTTTTTTTACTATAAACCCCTAAAATGGACTTACGTTGGATCAGCTCTCGAAAGGAAAACCGAGAAGCATCGTCCTTTATTCGATGTACAGGCGGCGCACTCCTGGTTGTTCAACATTGTAGTTTTAGCAATGTCATGAGCTGTAAATTGTCCCCACTGCATCAGAAGTGCATTTGAATGGTGTGGTATCTGGAAATCGCACGTTCATTGTTAACTTTTACCGCTTTCACATAAAACTACTGACCTGCGACGGCGAGGAAAGAAGAAGACGTGATGCATCGCGCGACGATGGGCGAGTTCGCAAAAATGACGCTATAAAATAAACAATTTTCTTTTTTAGGCAGAACTTAAATTAGTTTTGTTGTGAACGGCTTACACGTTGGTGCATTGAGGCCATTATCGTAGTTGGGCGTCTTTAATCTCATAAGAGCGCTAAAAGCCGAGCCAATCATTGGTTTTTCAAGATTGTTGCAGGTGCCGTCAAATGTTCGGAATCTATAAAAATTTGTGTTTGGAGCACTTATTGTTAAAAGGAAGCACAAAAACAAACCTCAAATGATAGCAAAGATTTCTATTGCAATTTGGTGCCATTTGCGTAGGAGCGCAATTGAAATTTGCGTTGCTGTTTCTTACGTCATTTATCGAGAGAGTTTTGCGATGAGATGTGTCTATAATTACATAATTTTGCTAGAAATCTCTGGAAATTGTTGAATGTGAGAAAAATCTGTGGGATGACGACCTTCATGCGTAGTGACAAACGTGCAGTCCTCAATACGAAAGCTGCCATCCTTGCGTGAACCACGAGCGGGTCCAATGGGCCTTCCTTAACAGGAACGCTTTATGGGTTAGAAAAGTAAAAATACCAATTGA